TCGAGACCTGCTGTAGGGAATGTAATTTCCCTACTGGGGGAATTGTTTTATTTTGATGATTTTGCTTTATTTTTGTTCTAGCTATCCCTCTGCTACTTGTTCTTAGAATTTCGCATTTTTGTTGCTTAGTCAGCACTACCTACTACTGGATCTACATGTTCAACCAGTTAGCTAAGGGAAGAGCATGGTGCTTGTGGGAAAGAGGGTGTACTTGTATGTAGTATGCTAAGGTAACTCAAGGGATAATGTTCGAAAGGACTGGGTGAAAACCGGTAGGTTTTCTGGCCTGGAACCAGGACCTGAGTCATCGAGCTGAGCTGTGAAACCCAGATGGAAGGAGTCAGCGATGCATCCAGCAAAGCTCAAGGCCTGGAAGGAAGGAGCTGTGCACTCACTCTCTACTGTACTGGGGGAAGGATGTATCGTTTGAGAGAGTTGAGGGTTTCTGGTTTGGATTGTAGGAAAGGAGCAAGTACCAGTGCATGGTGTCTGAGGTATAAAGTAAAGGATTCTCCCAACCAGCGACCCATTGTCTTTACAACATCAAAAGGTATTTCTTTCAGAAGGTAGAAAAGTGTGCTGCTGATGCGAAGGCTGTGGCCTTTGATATTTGGAAAACCTATGTGGGATTTGGCTGCCTTTGCTATCTTTCTCATTACTTCATATTTCGAGAGTGGTCTGATACCTCTGATGGGGTGTGACCAAGTGAAGAGGTGTGCATCTTTGGCAGCTGGGTTGAGATGGAAATGATTTTGTAGAGTGTGGAAGGGGTCTGTGATGGGATCATCCTGTGGGGCACATTGTACTGTTTTGCCTTTGGTTGAGCATTTTGTCACTGGGAGGTGAAAGACCATGACCAGGAGACCATCTTGGTTGTGGACAAGACTATAATCTGCCCTGGATATGTGTTTTGTTGGATCGAAACTTTGGATGGATGAGATGGTGAATTCTCCCAGTCTGGCAACACAGTAGAAGGTTATGACTAGACAGGCGTAAATTGCTGTGTCATGCAGGTTGTTTCTGTCTAACATGCTGTGCAGGGGTTCAAGGGTGTCTGTTGTAAATGGGGCTCTGCAGGGGTGTTTGGATGAGGCGGGGGCTAGCCTTGTGGTGCCTTCTAGGATGGCCTTGTATTCTTTCTTGTTGATGTCCCATCTACACCTGTGAACTATGTGCCATGCTCAAATACATACCTGCTGCATAGTTTGTGAGTGTGGATCCTGAGTGGGATCTGGTGCAGCTTGCTAGGAAGGCTGAGAGTAGATCAGATGAGATTGGGCATCTGCTGCTGTCTGGGATGCCATTCATGTCGCAGAAGACGTGGTATACTAATAGGCTTGTGCTGTAGAGCTCTTTGGTAGCATCTGTCCAGGAGGCGCCTATCATGCTTGTTATTCTTTGGATAGTTTCAGGTGTGAGGGGTACTGAGTCTGTTGTTTCCAGTGTTAAAGAAGCTGGGCACCAGCTGAGAAGCCTGTCTTTAGCGAGGCAGTGCAGCCTGAGGACTGATGGGGCAGGGGTGAGATGGGGGCAGTATGGTCTTGGGAATGAAATTTGCGGGGTATCTTTGTAGTTTAGTGGGGTGTTGAACTTGTCTACTCTCTTATTGGAGGTCTGTGAGGGTTTTTTCAACAAGCTCATCAATGAAACGTTGGTGGGAGGAAGGATTCCTTTGTGCCTCGTGTTGCCTGGCAATGTGGTCAATGGTGCGAGCTGGTTGATGAGCATAGTAGCCTTCTTGTCATGCTCGTTGTTCTGATGGTAGGAGGGGAGCATCAAAGTTGATGAGAAGTTGGCTAAGGCAGCTAGGGATGGGGAGAGGAGGGAGGATATGGTTGTTGTTTCCATAGATACCTCTTGATGGCTGGTTGGCAGGGTTGTCACCACTTCAGATGTAAACTGTTTGGATGCTAAGCAGGTGAGAGTTGGGGTCATGGATGAGGTTGTGTACACGTTTGAACACTTTGTTAACCTCTCAGTTGCGATGCCTGCCTGTCCACCACCCTTCCACGATGCTGGTGTTGTCGCCATGGACAACAATGTGAGATGGGGAGGGTAGGATTGTGTCAATGGTATGGATGAGGAATTCAAAGCTGATGGCTTCCACCCAGCTGATGTCATGCTTGGCATTGGTTGACTTCCAGCCTGGGATGAGGTGCCAGGCCCTCCATCTTTCACTGATGATGATTCCAATGCCAAAGCCAGAGCTAGCATCAGAGAACACTTGTAGATCTATTCGGGTGGGAGGGTGGAGCAGTGGGTATTGAACTCTCCCTTCCTGGAGAGTGTTTGTCCACCAGTCGAGATCTGTTTGGCAGTGTTTGTCTGGCCTGTGAGGTAAGAATGGCTTTGGCGAGCAGACTGTGATCATGTGCTTGAGGCTTGTCAGGTATGCTCGTCCTTGGGGGAGTAGGGCAGATGCATGTAGTAGTTTGCTGTACAATTCTTGTACATTTTGTAAAGTGTGTACTTGCCACTTGCGCCAATCATGGATGGCTAGTAGATATTTGGCAGTTTTGCTTTTGCTCAGAGCTACTATCCACCATTTGAGGTCCCATAGAAAGCCAATATATATTGTGGTGTGGTGGAATTTTTGGTCTTTCTCTGTCTCCCAGGGGATTCCTAGTTCTCTGGAGATTGCATTGATGTCATTGAAATTGTAGGTGAAATCTGCATCGTGTTTTGATCTAGGGGTATTGGTGGAGTGATCTGTTAAGGGGTGGTGAGAGTCGTCATTGAACTCTTCGAATGCTCTGTCTTCATGCACAGTTCCTTTGAAAAAGATGTGGCTGCCCGAGTATTGGAGGCCAGCATCAGTTATTTGGGAATTCCACCATTTTCTGGAGGTGTTGTATTCTTGTAGATACTGTTTTAGTATTCTCACGAAAAAATGGTTGTCTACCCATTTATCCAGCAGGCCGACACCCAGGCTCCTGAATATTTCGGTTGCAGCATCTGCTAGTCCTCCATACACACCCACCGAGGGGGTGGCACCAAAAGCTAAACATGTGTCGACACATGCATGTGTGTCAGAGATTCGTACTACAGCTGCTGGCCATTGGGATGGGTGGAGGGGGATGGTCCAGTAAGCTTCTGCTACAGTGCATGTAGCTATTTCCGATCCTGGTGGGAGTCTGGAAGCTAGCAGGAAGACTATGGAGAATTTTCCCCATGTGCATGGGAAATTGTCAGCTGATATGAATGAGTTGATGGACAGATTAGGGAAGTGTGGAGTTGGTGATAGGGGGAAAGAGAAATTCTGTATTAATCTGAATTTGCCTGGTTTGCCTGGCTTTGGGATCAGGGCCAGCAGTGACGATTGGAAATGTCCAATTAGGGATTGTAGTTTATTAATTTCAAAAGGGCCAATGAATCTCCCTTTGGTTATTTCTTTATTAACAATCTCCTCGAACTTATCTTGATATGTATCAACAGAAAGTTTATTAGGGGGGGATTGAGTATGCATGATTGGGGGGAAATCTATTAAGAAACCATTTCATAGGCCCTCTGGTATGAAAGTGAAGTGTTGGGAGTAATGTGTGTTTCGGAGGGCTCATTCCCAAGTGTCTGCTTTATATGGTGTGCGCTGGCAGAGCCATCTGTGCTCAAGGGCATCTGCTAGCTCCATGTGTTGCAAGTCCGCAACCAGAGCAAAAATGCATGGAGTCATGTTGTTCCAAGCAACCTTCTTCACACTGCCATCTTGGGCAGAGGTGAACTCCCTTCCTGGAGTATAGGACTCTGTGTACGCATCCAGAGAAAGTCTCATGCTTGTTATCCCATGTATGGGGGGCATGGCATTTGACAACTGGGATGTTGTGGCGTTCATGGCTAAGGCAGACCATGCAGACGGGGAGGGGGCCAAAATCCAGTTGGTGTGTTGAGGATCGAAAAGGTCTGAATTTCTTGTTAGGATCTCCTGGGGCACCAGTGGGGGATTGTTGCCATTTGGACTGGGGATAGGCGCTGGATGAGGTTTGATTGCTGAGTCTGGCATTGTATCTGCCTGCAATCTGTGTGGGGGAAAAGAGGGTGGTAAGATAGGAAAAAGGGCATGTAGCCAGATCACCCAGTGTGTGATGGAAGGGGGGGGGGGGGGGGGTGTGTAGCCGAGTAGTGGGTGATGGGGGGTGGAGGCATGTAGCCATTGAGGTCTGATGAGTGGTCAGAGGGGTTGGGGGTGTGTAACCCAGAAGAAACTGATGTGTAATCAGGTGAGGTGTCATGTAAGACATGCATTGGCCATGTTCAGTGTCACAGCCTGGGGCCAACGCAGTGTGGGGGTGTAGTAGGTGGCATGGAGCCGATGAGGAAGTTGTAGGGAGGGGAAGAAATGGGGGGGGGGAGAGTGAAGGTGGAGAAGATTGTTAGTGGTGTCACTTTTCTGTGCCATGGAAATGTAGGGACTGACCTGTTTTAGAGACTCCAGTTCGGCGACTTGTGCTGAGTGTACATGTCATTGATATGTGCAATGTTGAAAGATTGCTCGGTGTTGAGTGTGTCGTGCCATCTTCTGCATACTTGGGCTTGGTAGACTAGCAGAGCTCTTTTGCTGATTTTTCAGTGGCCATGTCTCCATGGGTGATTCTCCAGTGCCAGCCAGAATTTGATGTGGCTGTTGATGTTGTCGGCTTCCCAGTTGTTCTCCTTCATGGTGTTGGCTAGCCTGTGAGCAGTTTCTGTGAATTCTTCCCAGGTGATGTCTTCGTCTTTGGTGACTGTGCCTTTTGCTCGGGCAGATGCAAGGGCAACAAAGGAGTGGAGGCCATCTCTGTTTGGAGGAGAGTCATGGTGTCATTGTCTGCTGAGTGTACTGTCGATTCTGCGTCATGTAGGCCTTTGTTTGTGAAGTAGTAGAGCTCAATGAAGTCAGCTTTGCAGAGTCAGTGTGCTGCAATCTGGGAAGGGATGATGATAGGGTCCGCTGGTACTACCACATCCTGAGGTACTGTAGCATATTTGCGACAGTACTTCTTCTTTTCTTCTTGTAGCACCAGCTCTCATTCTCTCTTGCATTTGGCCTGCTGCCTCTCTTGTTCTTCCTTGTCAAGCCTCGCTCTTTCAGTGGCTTCTTGTTGCTCTTGGTGGGCTTGGTGGTCCCATTCCTCTTTTTCTAGGTTGTTGTTCAATGTCCAGTAGAGGGCTAGTTGGGCTGCTGCTGCCTTGTGGTTGACATCATCATTTATGAGGCATTCTCTGGCCTGATGATATTTCTCAGAGGAGAAATCAGGTTGTTCTGCAAAATGAGGGTTGTGCATCAGTTTGGGCATAGCAAAGAACAAATGAGAGACTAGAATGCAGCTCAGCTGAGCCTTGAGGGGTGAGTGAGAGTACGAAGGAGAGAGACAACCAGCTAACTGTATTCCCACATGTAGACTATATTCTCTGTACACTACGTGCCTCCACTACTGAGAATTGCCATGTAGTTAGTTTTTTTTTAAACAATAGATGAGTTCCCACAGACAAGAGATGAAATCGAGCAGGTCATTTCCCTGCACCCAGACTGCCATAGAAGCCCTCAGACGTCCCATCCATCCAGTTCCAGGCTATAGAAGCCCCTTTTGGCCTACTCACTCCCATCAGATATCTCTACTCTCCTACTTCTCTCCTGGTTCAACCTTATTTTCCTACAACTGGAGCCCACCGCGAGGGGCTTCTGTCTTAGCCTGGCACCCATCCAAACCTTCCCAGATTTTATTTTGCAGTCTCCAGCTTCATTTTCGCAATTTTCATGCTCGGTTTAGCAGATTTCACCTTTCAGTCTCATTTTTGCAGTCACTTCGCTCGCATTTTCGTGTTTTCCCACTCGCGCGCACTCACTTATCAAGCATTCACACTCATATAAACTCCTGAAGTCATGTTCGGCCTCAAGATTCTGTGTCGAGGCTCGCCCAAAGCACCAAGCTTCTCTGGGCGCCCCAAGGACCTTCGAAGCTATTTTGATGACATAATTGACTTCTGTGATGGGTTCGGCCTCTCGGACGGGCTCGTGTGCATCAAATTCGCGCTCAAATATGCGCCTTTTGAGTCAGCTGACCTCTGGTCCCACTTCGTCAGTAGTAGCAAAGGAGATTGGGCTCGTTTTACCTCGGAAGTCACTCAGCAGCACCCAGAATTGGACGAAACAAGTCGAAGTCATGCCAACGAGCTTGCCAGCCTAAAGGTTGGATTTGCGAGTTCAGATGTTGTCTCAATGTCATCCCTAGGGCAATATTATCACAATTTCTGTCGAATTTCGTTATCTCTCGAGAACCTACTGGGTCCATTGCCCCACCTAGCCAGTATGTTCAAGTATGGGTTCCCTCCAGAGTTCAGGCGAGAGGTGCTCGAACACCACAATGCATCAGAGTATTCTGTGCTCAGTCTAATGTCTACAGCTAAGGAGGTCCTGAGGTCGAGCGGCGGCCTCTGGAAGAGCAGCAAGGTCGACAGTTCATGCACGCAGCCACCACATGCCTCAGACAATCATTCCCCCCGTCGTTCATATTTGTTCTGCTTCTTCTGTGGACTTTCAGGCCATATTCAGGCAGGTTGCCATTCGTTCAAGTCATATTTAGCTTCGGGAAAGTGTCTACTCGTAAACGGCTGCATTGTTCTACCTACTGGACTGGAAATCCCGCATGAAGTTGCTGGACGAACTCTGCGAGACCGTCTCGACAGCTGGTCTTCGTTGACAAGCGAGTTCGAGGCTCGTACGGGCCCATCGCCTGCTCGCTCGCTTTCACCCACAGCCGCACCCTCTCGAAGCGTGTTCGACACACCATCGCGCATACCCGCTCAGACGAGCATTGTGTCTACTCGGTCCCTACCTACTGTCCAGCTCGAGCCAGCAGTACCAGACCCACCAGCCGTTCCGTCTCGTCGCTCGTCAGCCGAGCGCTCTCGTAGCTCACTGCACACGCAGCCACAGTCGAGGTGGCCATGTGGCCGAGGCTGATTGCCCTCGCATCCTCGTTCACGCTCGCGCTCGCAGACTCGAATGGGTTCGTACACACGTTCGAAGGATGATTTCATACGAGTCCAGTTGTTTGCCCGCAGCTTGATACAGCATCACATTCCGAAGGCACTCATATTCATATTCGACCAATAGCTCACCCCCTTCTTCCTCGTCATCGTTGTCCTCACGCTCGCGCTCTCGTTCACGTTCGAGGAAGGCGGATTCATACATCCATTCCAAGCCGAAGCGGTCGCACAGCCGCAGTCACATGCCCCGGCGCTCTCGAAGAGCGCGTTAACACTGCATGTCACACCAATTCTGTTATGTTTTTTTTTCGTTTCTTTTTGCTCATGGATCTTACAAGTATCTAGTATGGATTTACCTACTCATTATGCGGAGTTTTCGGTACCTTATACATGTTTAGTTTTTCTTTTCTTGTGTTCTGTGTTTTACCCCCCAGGCTCTAGTCCCCCACAGAATGCCATTTTGCAGTGCACCTAGTGCCTTCCCATGCTCTACACAATGCCTCCCATCTGCAGATACAGTTCCATCAAGGCATGCTGTTGACGAGGCCACCATTGACAGCGCTCGTCACTCGTCAAGGTGAATACTACCTCCCTCGTACTGAGCATGTATCTTGCTCGTTATTGCGCCGCTCCTCTCGCTTTTTGGCAGGCTAATACTACTCGACGTTAGCTCTCTGTTGGTACCAAGATCACTTGCATACGCCCAGCCCTTAAGGAGATATTCGCGTTCTTGTGAATAGGTCCATTCTCAGGGTCCTGTGGTCGTATCTCACCCGTTTCCGTGCCGCGCCTCTCGCCTTTTGGGAGGATTGTAGTCCGCGACGAATGCTCCATGTTGATATCAGGATTGTTCTGATAGGTCCAGTAGCTCTGGAGATATTTGCATTTTTGTGCGAAGGCCCATCCTCGAGGTCTTGCCATAGTCGCTCACGCAGTTCTGCGTCTCTCCTCTCGCTTTTCGGGTCGTTCATCCTGCTCGCTGAACCCTTCCTGGGCCATCTACCTTGTAAAATTCCGTGCAACCGTTATCAAGATATCCGCGTTTTCGTATCCAGAGGGCTTCGAGATGGTTTTGCGTATAACTCAGGATCGGCTGATCCAATCGGCGTGTTTCCTCGTTCTCCCTGTTCATCTACGAGTCCTCTACCGTCTCACCGAGTTTTGTATTGATCGTCCAAGCCGTTGCTGTGCGAGTTGACCCCTTCTCCCCACCCTCGAAGTTCTCTCATCGTATCTCGCGCATCCAAGCGCTGCTCCTCTCGCTTTCCCAGCAGTCCATTCCCCCCGAATAGCCCTTTCTGGGTATGCCTCTTCTGTCAAATTCCGCACAGCTATCGTCGAGATATGCCCATTTTCATGGTTGGAGACACTTTCAGACGACTCTTTGATTATCTCACTCGTTTCTCGACCGGATCTCTCGCTTTTCGGGATCCTGATGCTACTATTCGACAGCTTCAGAATGGTAGCTTTTCCGTCGTCGTCGCTGCAGAACTTGTGGCTACATTTGGTTTTTGGTGGATGAGGATACCTTTGGGCGGTTTTGTGGATATCTCAGGATTGGGCACGTGGATTCTCTCCTCTCATTTTGCAAGGTCCTGGCTGCATTCCCTTCTGTCATCATATCTTGTATCACAGCATTCCGAGCACCCATTTTTCGTCAATGAGTCGTTGTCCCACCTCTTCCCTCGTGACCATGGATTATTGTGTAGTCAAGCCGCCTTCGGGTTGACTGGGGACAGTCAAGATCTTGAGTACCCCTGGGATGTAGGGAATGTAATTTCCCTACTGGGGGAATTGTTTTATTTTGATGATTTTGCTTTATTTTTGTTCTAGCTATCCCTCTGCTACTTGTTCTTAGAATTTCGCATTTTTGTTGCTTAGTCAGCACTACCTAGTACTGGATGTAGTTAGTTTTTTTTAAAACAATAGATGAGTTACCACAGATGAGAGATGAAATTGAGCAGGTCATTTCCCTGCACCCAGACTGCCATAGAAACCCCCAGACATCCCATCCATCCAGTTCCAGGCTATAGAAGCCCCTTTTGGCCTACTCACTCCCATCAGATATCTCTACTCTCCTACTTCTCTCCTGGTTCAACCTTATTTTCCTACACTGCCCTAAGGTGCATGAGGTTAGCAGTTGCCATGCTGACAGAACATGTGTTCCCCAGGGTTAAAAAGGTGCATCTTTGCAAAGACTTGTTTTCTCCTGACTCCTTCATCATGTCTACTTGTCAAGCTTCCCCATGCATACCCACTGACTCATCTGGCTTCCAGAAAGCTTCCACACCCAAACTCCAGATCACCAGTGATGATGAGGAGGCTGACATCCAGGCCAAGATGGCCGAGTGCAAGTGGCACAAGGTGTTGAGGGAAGAGGCTGCCTGGCTGGAGGCAAAGAGGCTCGAGAGGGAGTGATTGGAGGCAGAGCAGTGCAAGAGGGAGTGGGTGGAAGCTGAAAGGCAGGAGCAGGAGTGGTTAGAGGCCAAAAGGTGAGAACAGGAGCATCTGGAGGCTGAGAGGAAAGAGCAGGAGTGGTTGGAAGCCAAGCACCAGGAGCTGGAGACCCAGGTTCAACAGAAGACAGGAGAGCCAAAAGGCAAGGAGCAGGAGAAGGCTGCCAGGGTTGTGAGCACCAGGTTGTGCCAACAGTGTGAGAAGGGTTGAGTGTCATGCACTTTTGGCCATGCACAGCAAACTAAGCACAAGAAGAGGACATGCAACCAGTGCACTGAAATGAAGGTCAGGTGCGAGTTGCCCAAGGGGGTGGAGCCTGAGGCTGAAGAGGCCAGGGCAAAGGCTGGGAAGAAGAGAGCACTGGAGGATGTCACATCACTGAGGGCCAGGGAAAAGAAGAAGGTTACCTGAGTTGGGTCTGCAATCCCTGGTGAGTCAGAAGCTGGTCCCTTAGGGAGTGGTTGCACCCACCATCACCCCCTCTGATCCCTTGGTGGCAGTGGTAGTCAAGGGGTTTGAGCTGATCACAGCGGCCATGGATTGGAAAATGGCAGAGATGTGGGCCAGAAGAGAGACCCAGTGCTGGTTCAACAGCTGGGTGAGTTTGAGTTTGTCCTGCACCCAACCACCCCAGTTTCCGAGTCCAGCGAGGAGCTGCACTCAGATGTGGCAGACCTGGAGCTCAAGAGTCTCTGGTTGGACTGAGAGGGAGTGGGGGTGGAGTTGGATGAGGGTGTCATGTGCTGGCCCGAGGACATGCACATGAAGGGCCAGTGGTCTGGCTCAGAGAGTGGGGAGGAAAAGGAGCTCTGGGCAAGTGATGGAGAGGTGTTTGAGGGGGACTCCAAGT